GGCTGGCGGCCTACGAGGCGGCGGCGGGGCGCTGGGTGCCGCTGCTCGGCCCCGCCGCCTCCTGCGGGCCCCGCGGGCTGCTCGCGGCCGCCCCGATGCCCGGCGGGGCGGAGCCGCTCTGCGCGCTGGGCGGCGGCGACGGGCGGCTGCTCGTGTTCGCCCTGAGCGGCCCCGAGCGCCCCGCCAGGCTGAGGCCGTTCGAGGGACCCGTGCTGGGGCTCAGCTGGGCCGCCCGGCCCGGGCCGTCCCTCGGCCCCGCCGCCCTCGTGGTCTCCGGCCCCGGCGGGACCGTTCTCTGGATGGATGTTACCTGCAGCCCCGGGCAGGTGCCTGCGGTGCGGCTCATGGGGCGCTACCGGCTGCCACCCTGCAAGCAGCGCTGGCACACCTGTGCCGCCTTCCTGCCCCAGGGAGGGCTGCTGCTGTGTGGGGACCGCCGCGGCTCCCTGCTCCTCTTCCCCTGTGGCAGCAGCAGCTCTGATGGCACCGACACAGGTACCCCGGGCAGTGAGGGCACTGCGAGCCAATCGGAGCCCTCCTGCTTGTTACACAGCGAGGCTGTGCCCATCGAGAACCCTCTGTCCGTGCTCTTTGGGCTGCATGGCAAGACAGGGGTCACCTCAGTGACCTGCCGTGGGGACTACATCTACAGCACAGGCCGGGACGGCTGCTACCGGCAGCTCTGCCTGCGGGACCAGCAGCTGGAGGTACTGCAGAAGCACCGGCCCCGCAAAGGGCTGCAGTGGATTGAGGAGCTGCGTTTCACGCCCAGCGGGGACCTGCTGGTGCTGGGCTTCCACGCCGACAACTTTGTGGTGTGGAGCACAAGGAGCGGGGTGAACCTGCACTGCGTGCCCTGCGGCGGAGGGCACCGCTCCTGGAGCTACCACAGCAGCCCTGAGGCCGATGCCTTTGCTTTCATCAAGCGTGGGGATGTGATGCTGTACCACAGCGAGGCCGAGCCCTGCGAGCAGCGTGTGCTGCTGGCGTCACTGCATGGCCGTGAGATCACCTGCGTGCGGCACCTGGGGGCCGTGCGGGCGCCCGGATGCCGCCCCATTAATGTCTTCATCACTGGCAGTGAGGACACCACGGCGTGCGTGCTGACACTCAGTGAGCTGACGCGTGCGGCGGTGCCCCTCACCAGGCTCAGCGACCACATCTCCAGTGTCAGGGCGCTGGCCTTGGCTGGCGCTGCGCTGCATAACGGCACCCAGCTCTGCTCCTTGCTGTTCTCAGCCGGCGGCCGCGCACAGATTGAGTGCTATCGGCTGCAGTGCACTGCGGATCTGGAGACTGAGGGCATGGTGAGCTGCCAGGTCACTCACGTGGCCTCCCACCGGCTGGATGAGCACTGGGACCGCATGAAGAACAGGCACAAGCTTGTCAAGATGGACCCGGAGACGAGGTGATGCTCGATGGCTGCCTGAGCCTTTGAGGGGATTTTGACTCAGTCCTTCCTCTCAGAACCCCCAGAGTGTTCAGAGCTGTGTCTTGTGCTGAGTTCATGCTGCTTCCCCCCCTGTCCTCCTACACGACAGCAGGTGCCGGGGGGGCATGCAGCAAGCATTCTATGTTTGCCCAGGTACATGTCCCTCTCAGTCGTATGCGGGACCAACAGCAAGCAGCTGCCCGTGCCCTGTACGTTCCTGGTAGCTGCATGCAGCGATGGATCAGTCCGGTGAGCAGTCAGCATGGGGCTTAGCTGCCTAGAGGTGTCAGCTCCAAGCAGGAGTAGGGTGGTACCTTGCAGCAAGGCATCTCTTTCTCCCAGGATCAGTTGCATCTCCCTCTGCCCAGGCTCTTTGTGCTGCTGGAGGCTGCCCAGAAGCTGCTGCTCGTGGCAGAGTCGTTCCACCACCAGCGCTGTGTGCTGAAAGTGGAGGCATTCCTGCACACGTGGGCAGAGGAAGAGAGGTGAGCCCTGGGCAGGGTGCTGGGAGGGAAGCATTCATCCTTGTGATGCCTGCGCAACAAGAAAGGGTGATGGCAGTGGAGCTGGTGAAGGGAGGGAGGAAGTTGGGGCCATCCTTTCTGCTTGCCCATGCTCCAGCATGGGGCTGGAGGCTGCCCAACATCTTCCTTCCAGGAAGCACTTCCTGTGTAGTGCAGCCACTGATGGCAGCGTTGCCTTCTGGGACATCACCAGTACCATCGCAGATGCAACAGATGCCCTGCAGCACTCAGAGGGAGAGATGCAGCCATTGGGTGGGTACAGCCATGGGCAGGGAGGATGTGCCAGCAGCTCTATGCACTGCTGTCCTGACCGAGCCTCTCCTTCCAGCCCTGGCCACCCCACTGCTCACTGTCGTGGCTCACAGCTGCGGGGTGAACAGCCTGCACATCCAGGAGCTGCCCAAGGGACAGTTCCTGGTGGCCAGTGGCAGTGATGATGGCTCCATCCACGTCTGCCTGCTGGAGGTGACACGGGACGGTGATGAGGCCGAACCAGAGACCTGCTTGCGCATCCTGGAACGCGTGGCAAGGCCGTGCAGCCACGCCGCTCACGTGACGGGGATCAGAGTGCTGCGGCCGGACCTGGTGCTCTCTGCCTCCGTGGACCAGCGGCTGACACTGTGGCAGCTGAGCTGGGACAGCCTGGAGGAGCTGAGCACCACCTTCTTCTATGTGCCTGACCTGGCAGAGCTGGACTGCTGGGAGGTGGTAGAGGCAGGTGGGGAGCGGTGTTGGTATTGCGTGCTCTGTGGGCAGGGCCTGGAGCTCCTGCGCTGTGCTGCCCTGGACACCCACTGTAAGCTCCAGTCACAGGGTGCTGTCCAGTAAAGGGGTGTAGTAAAATCCCTGCTCCCCATCTGCATGGGGACAATGAGAGCAAAGGAACGTCCCAGCACACTGCTCCAGGTGCCCTGTGTGTGTGCAGTGATACAGCTGTGCTGTCGTCCTCGAGGAGGATGGACATCCTTCTGTCCCACAGGGAGAGCAAGGGCTCTCCACATGCTGGGAGGATTGAGGGCAGCAGGAGGCCAAGAAAGGTACAGAGCTGCTGGGGAACAGAGGGCTGCAGCACACAGTCTGTTTGTTGTGCCCCGCCAGGCCAGCCCTATCAGAGCAGTCCTTCAGTGCCTTTGTCAGGCTGGCAGGGTTGTTCCTGTGCAGCAGCAGACCTGCAGGCAGCCAAGGCACAGTAAGGATAAGAAGCTGTACACAGCCTTTGGCCAGACAGGCTGGACTGTGCTATTGGAACATGGGGCTGCTTGCAAGCACTGCTTAACCTTGCTCCTGCAGCAAGGTACTCCCACTCCTGTGCACAGCACAGACCTTTCTAATGCTCATCTTTCCCTCCCCCTCCTCAGTTATCACTGCTAGGTCAGACACAGCATTTGTCCAGCAATAAATGTATTCAGCCCTAATGTTAGGACTTGGCACAAGGCAGGACAGCAGCCCTTGAGGCTCAGGAGCTCTCTGCCAGCACAGAGCTCCCCTTCAATAAACAGCTTTGAGGGAACGGATCGGTGCCTGGCTTTATGGGTGCCTCAGTCCCTTGTGCTTCCTTCCTTTGTGGGCACTGAGGAGGAGGAGCCTCACAGTGAGATTCAGATGGACCCCAACTCCCAGTCTGACCAACAAGCAGCCCCGTGCCTGGCGTGGAAGGAAGTACCCTGTTCTGCCCCTTGTAGCACTGCTGTTTGTCACTCCGTGGCAACAGTCCTCAGTGGTGGCTTAGATCTGGCTGAGAGGAGGGAGGTGCAGAGTTGCCAGGGCACTATGGAACATGTCCCTCACTGCTCCCAGCAGCTGGAGGCGTGCAAACATCTGGTCAAAGAGGTGAGGGAATGGCTCCTGCAAGGAGAAAGGCGGTGAGGTGGCGGTTCTATTTCTTGACCTTGTTGTTTCTGCCCTCCTTCATATCCTGTTGCTGCAAGGCTGGCGTCTTACCAGCATCCAGGAGCAGCCCCCCAGTAAATGGCCTGGAACGTTTGACTCACCCCGAGAATGTGAACCCGGTTGTAGTAGGAGCTGAAATCCATGCTGAGCTGGATCAGGAACTTGCACACCTGCAACACAGACAGCTTGGGCTGATGCTGCATGGTCTGGCCAGTCTGGGGCCATCCTGCACAGCAGGAATAGCAGCGAGGGCATTACCATCTCTTCCCAGGAACGCCCCTCAGCACTCTGCAGAAGAGCAGCCCGCTCTGGGCTAGCACTGTTGGTGCTACAGGTGCTTTGGCACACAGCACTTACTGCCTCTGTGTTGGCTGTGATCCGGAGCCCCTTGCTGGGTGGGGGCAGCTGTGCTGCTTGCTGCAAGACTTCTGGGAAGGGCAAGAGGTAGTTGAAGAGGAGCAGCCATTCACCCTGTGAAAGGATTATGTGCCTGTCAGAGAGGCCCAGAAGCATCCATCCCCCAGAGCCAAGGGCACACTGCTTTCCACAGACCCTGTCCCTCAGCACTCACTTCTTCCCGGAGGCAGGAGAAGTTCAGTTCTGATGCTGGTGGCAGAGGTGGGTATGTGCCTGCAAAAGTGGTGAGACTGTGGTTGCAGCCAGGGAAGCCTTTGTGACTGCAGGTATGAGGAACAGCTGTTAGAGGTGGAAGAGGCAGGGCCAGTGCTCACCTCGCTCTACAGCCCGCTGGTATGTGTCAAAGAGCGTGGCCAGCCGGGCACAGTTGTACATCACAAAGGCACCACTCTTGGTTCCCTTTGTAGAAATGCTGCTGTCCTCCAGGTCCAGGGTGATCTGAGGGCAGAGACAACCTGCAGTCCAGGCTGCTTGGCCCAGGGCCATTCCTGGTGCAACCCTGTGTCTCCTGCTGGGGGAGCAGTACCTTCCCATCAGGTGAAGTGTGGCCACCAGCGTGCTGAGCACCGTGCCCTGCTGGGGCTGACAGGCACAGCCTACCAGGATATCAGCCCAGACATTTTATGTGATTTACCCTGAGAAAAACCACTCCCAGACTGAGCTTGGGGTGTCCAAAGTCCACGCAGCGCTTCCTCACACCCAGTGCTACTTGTCCCTCTGCTCCCACCGATCTCCCAACCGTGCCATGATCCACGACTCCCTGAGCAGTACTGCTTGCCTGCCTCCCACTACGCTGCAGCTCTGGGCTGTTCTACCTGGCTCCGGTGGGCAGTGCTCAGCATCTCAAACCTGATGGCAGCCACCGTCAGGATATCAATAACCTCAGTCCAGGCCTCGTCTGCAGAGAGAACACAGGATGGAGGAAGCTGTGTGGTACCGTGTGCCTGCCATTTCCAAAGCCCCAGGTAGGAAAACCCATTGCAGTGAGGGGGCTCTGCTGAAGCTGGTGTATGGACACCTCCCCTGCCCGGACCCCCCCCCCTCCACAGCCTGCAGAGCAAACCCTCACCTTGTGCAAGCTCCCCATATTTCATGACAGAGGCTTCATACATCTGGCGTTTCCTGAGCCTGGGAGGAGCACACAGTCTCTGCTAAGCAGGCTGCATGGGGCATCATTCCTGCTACAACAGAAAGCTGGCCAACCAAGGGCACGCAAATCCTGCCTGGAGCAGGACAGAGACAGCAACACTGCTGCTGGCAGTAATGAAGAAGCATTGTTGAAGTCCTCTAGAAAAAGCCCCAAGGTTTAGAGAAGCAGAAGAGAGAGACACACTAGGACTGCTGCCTGTAGGGCCAAACAGAGCACAGGCAAGACATGCAGACATGCAGCATGGCATGGCAAGGCAGGCTCCTTGCTCAGTACCAACTTACTGAAAGTAATGGTCTGCACTGATGGGGGATAAAGGGTTTGTCACCTTCACTGGTCCACAGACAAGGTGCTTCTGAAAGAGAGGAAGTGCTAGGTGAAAGAAGCTCCTTTGTAATGTAGTGCAGGAAGAACTGTGCCTACAGAGCTACCAGGAAACTGTTCACATCCTGGGAATGGGTACCACAGGAAAAGAGGAAACCAGAGTTAGAGGCTGCTAAAACAGCACTGCATTAGTTAAAGACTGTTGTTTTCTAGCTGTGTCCTGCAGTTTTCTCCTATCCCCCCTTCTTTAATGCTAAAATCCCAAGGAAATTGGATGCCAAAGGGAAGGGAAGACTCATAAAGGCACAAGGCTGGGCCTCAGCATTCACTACAGGTGCTAAAGATGGGCTGACGCATGAACCACAGTGCAGAGTGTAGGAGTTCCTCACCTGCAAATCCATGCTGGCTGCTGGATCCAAAATCCTCCATAACAGATCCATTTGCTGCTGCTGGAATTCCTCCTCGCAGCTCACTATGTGCACCACACTGCAGCAGCTCCCCTGGCACCCTGCCTGCAGCACAGCACAGCAACAAGATCAAACACTGACAGGAGAGAGAGAAAGCAGCAGGCGGCACCAGGAGGTCACTCACCATGCCCTGCAGCACAGCTTGCTGCAGTTCAGCCAGGGACTGCAGCTTCTCCTCTGTCACTGAAAGAAGGGAGGGCACTCAGTGGGACAAGGGGCTTATCCATACCATATGGATCTGTCCCAGGCTGCCTCCATTTATGGCTCAAACCAGAGGAAAAGGAGGAAGCAATTTGCTTCTGTCCCTTACTCTCCATAAAAACAACGGGAACAAAGAACCCGGCCCACTTGCAGCCTTTCTCCCCTGCTATCATCAGCAATACTCCATGTGTGACTCACCAAGGAGGACTCCCAGGTTGGGGTCATAGCCTTCCAGGCCCTGCTGCTCCACATAGCTCTTCAGGTGTACTTTACAAATGATGTCCTCAGGTGGCGAGGCCACACCTGACCCCCTTTCAGAATGTGTGGCATAGTGGCACTGGCTGAGAGATTGCTTCAAGGCTGACAGAGTCTCATGGCTGGCTGTGCTGCTGGAAGGCCATTCCACACGGAGCTGCTGCAGGACCTCCTGGCTCCGCTTGTCGGTGACAGCAGGCACCAGGAACGTGCTGAGCCTGCGGGAGCGTGAGATGTGGGCACGGGCCGGGGAGCGCGGGCCGGGCAGGAGGCGAGGGCAGAGCGCTCACCCTTGGGCACGCAGCAGCTGGGCCAAGTGGTCAGCGAGCAGCACGGGGCGCAGGCGGCGGGGCGTCAGGCCTCCGGGGCACCGCAGGGCCGGACAGTGCAGCACCACCGTCGCCTGTGGGCCGGGTAGGGGGGCGGGGCCAGGGCCGGGCTGGGGGCCCAGCAAACGCCGGAAGGCCTCGCAGCGCCGCAGCCGCACCTCCAGCCCCGCCGCCGTCTGCCGGCAGCCGCGCACCGCCAGCACCCCCGGGCCGCCCAGCGCCGTCACGGCCGCGACGACATCGGAGGGCACCTACGAGTTGGAGCGGTGGTCAGCACACCGCCCGGCCCCGCCCCCCCGCCGCGGCCTGCTGCCGGCCTACCGACCTGCCCCCCGGCGAAGGCGGCCCCGAGCGCAGCCCGCGGCGCCAGGAAGTCGCGGTGCCGCAGGTTGCGGGCGCTGCTCTCCTTCATCCAGAGAGACGCGGGCCGCCCCAGCGCCACGTTCAGCGCCCGGAGCGTCGCCGCCAGCCCCGGCCGCTCCTCGCCCGTCTCCATAGCAGCCCGGCCGCCGCTTCCGGTGAGAGGGAAGAGGTGACGTCACCGACGCGTCGCCCACGTGGGTGCGGCCGGAGGAGCGCAGCCGCCATGTTGAGCGCGGCGCGCGGCGCCCCCGGGCCGCCATCTTGGGCGCGGGCGGCCATCTTGGAGGAGCCGCCATGCTGGGTGTGGCGAACGAGGGGCCGCCCGTGTCTGAGCGGGGGGTGGGCGCACGTGCCGGCTACAGCCGCGCTCCGCGAGGCGCTCCGTGCCGCGTCACCGAGCCGGTGTCACCGCTGCACCGTCACGGCGGAGCGTCGTGTCGATGTCGTCGTACCCTGGGCCGCCCTCGGCCCAGAGCCGTGCTGTGCCCGCAGGGAAACACGGCAGCGCATCCCGGGGCCGCGCCGTGCCCGACGCTCAGCCCGAGCCGCGGGGCGACGCGAGGGCAAAGCGCGGCCCGGCAGCGCCGCCCCACTGCTGCGGCACGGCGGGGATGGCGGGGCCGGGACGGGATGGGGGCGCGGCGCACGTGGCTGCCCGGGTGAAGCCGCGCCTCGTGAGCGGCTGTGGCCGGGCCCCGTGGCGCAGGGCGATGGCGGCCGTTGGATCGCGGTATCCCACGGCGCTGCTCCGGCTCAGTCTCACTTCCCTCCCGCCGGGGCCGCGTGCCACCCCTCAGGGCCCACAGGGCTGTTTTGCTCGTATCCAGGAAGCACCCAAACCCCTTGGCGGCGCGTGTCCCCCCTCCTTCCCTCTCTGCGGGGGGGCCGTTCGGCCCGCAGGCCCAAACCGGTTCCTCCAGGGCTCACGTTCCTCTGTTTCCCTCGTTGCGGGCGCCCTCGGGGACCTGGCGGCTCCTCATTGCTTTCCAGGGGGCTGAGAGCCAGAGCGCTGTATGGATGGAGCCCCGGGCAGTCCCCGAGGTGGGGTGCTCCCTGCACCACCCACAGCCAAGAGGTGATCTGAGAACTGCTGCTCACACAGACCAACTGCTGACTGTCCGCAGGGCAGGAGCCACCGGGGACCCCTGCCCGGGGGGTTGCAGCCCTCAGAGCCATTTGCTGGGGCTGGCAAAGCTGGGTTGGGGCTGACTCCCTCACTGTGGCCCAGCACGTGGTTGCACTGTCCCTGCCTGGCTCCTTGAAGCAGGGGCAGAGGGCTCCTGGAACAGCCCAGGGGGACTCGGAAGTGCAGAAAGAGCTTAGGACAGACACGACATCCCCGATGGCTGTCTGGCTGCGTGCTCAGCGGGAGTGATCGTGTCATTCCAAAGCTGTCTCTCTCCAAGGGCCGGATCCTGCTCTCCCGCTGCCCATCAGCACTGGGCTGCATGGGCAGGTGGTGGCACACAGCTGGTGCAGCATTCTGTGACCCAATGTGGGCAGCCACATCCCCGCAGCCAGCCAGGGCCCCGCAGCCAGGCGGCTCATCCCCAGGAAGCAAGCTGCTGTCTTTAGGAGCATGAGAACATGGGGAACCCCCGGCTGTGGTGCGTGGGGCTGAGCCACGATGCTGCCTGCTGTGCCCCATCGCGCAGGGCCCGGAGCAGCGGCTCCGTTCCAGTGCACGGCAGCGGCGGCTGAGGCGGAGGCGCGGGTAACGAAATCCCAGGGCAGCTGGGCGCAGCGGGGACAGCTGCTTTTGGGATTCCGTTGCCCGTGCCGGCGCTGCAGAGGGACGGACACAGGGGCCGTTGCTGCCCACCTACAGGACGAGGGAGAGAGGGCGACTTACCCGGGTGCCGTGGGGAGGGCCGTGAGGAAATGGCTCCCAGCAAAGCCCCGGTGGGGCTATGGCGTGTGGTGCCACCGGAGCAGCCCCGGAAACCCGAGCTGGCCCCGAGGGAGGACACCTGCGCTGGGGGTGCCGGAGATGGGCACGGCGCAGCCCCCGCTGCTGCCCGCTCTGTGTCACCGCTCAGTGCGGAGCGCCCGGGGAATCGAAACCGTGCGCTGCCAAGCGGGGAATCCCACCCGGGGTGCGTGAGGCCCCGCGGCAGAGCGGATCGGTGACCGACAGCGGCACAGCTCGTGGCACCTGCCCGGGGCTGGCACAGTGTGGGTCTCCCTCCGAGTCACCCAATGCCCCCGTCCCCCGCTGAGCCCAAACAGAGGAGGGAACCGTGGAGCCCGCGGCAGTGCGCGGTCAGCGCCGCGGGGGCGATGCGGGGTTCCCCCAGCCCACGCGTGGGCACGGCTCTGCTCGCACGGCTGCAGCCCGGCGGCACTGCCCCGTTCCTGCGATCCCGCGGCCCCGTGGCGAAGAGCCGCGGATTTTCGGCCGCCCACGAGGGACCACCGCGGGGCCGCCCCGACGCCGCTCACCTCCGCACGGCGGCAGCCGCAGCTCCGGCGCGGCCGCTCCGTGGTGTCCCCGGCGGCGCGGGGCTCGGGGACCCCCGGACAGAGCAGGACTCCGCGTCCACCCCTTCGCGGCGGTGCCGCCCGCTTCCCCTTCCCGACGCTGCCGGTTTCGCTTTTGCTCCGCAGCCGGGGCCAAAGCCCGCCCCGGGCGGACCCAGCACCAGCAGAGCCTCTAGCCGCTCCGGGAACCCCCCGCAGCTCGGCGCGGGGCAGACCCCGCGGGACCCCGACCCACGCCGCGGTGCGGGGCCACGCCGCCACCGAGCCCTCCGCGTGCGCCCTCCGCGTCCCTCCACCCCGGCTCGGGGCGCACCGAGCGCGCCCCGCAGGTGCCGGTCGCATCGGATGGAGCGGGGCACGGTCCCGCCGCCCTCGCGCCGCCTCCGCGAGCTCCCCGCGGCCCCGAACCCGCGCGTGGAGCCGGGGTGCGTCGGCAGCATCGGCGGCGGCCGCGAGGGGGCGCCCTGCAGGGCTGCGCGACGCTTCCGGGAGCGGCGGAGCCATGGCGGCGGCGGCGCTGCGGCGGTTGGGCCGTGCGGTTCCGCGGGTCATCACAGGGTGCGGGGTGGTGCGGGCCGTGGGGCTCCGTGGGCGGGGGGGGGTCCCGGCACGGGCACACCGGACTGAGCCGCCGGTCCCGTAGGGCGCCGCGCCGTGGGCACCGCCTGACGCCGTCGGACGACGAGATGTACCAGCGGACGCGGGTGACGGTGCTGCAGCCCGAGAGCCCCAACACCGCCTTCATCGAGGGCTACAGCAGCCGCGGGTTCAGCATCAGCGGCACCGTGGTGGTCGGCCCGTGTGCCGTGCTGCCCCGCGCCATCCTCCAGTGGAACGTGAGTGCGGGAGCGGGCAGGGATGGGTTGGGGGCCGGGCCGCCCCGCTGAGCGCCGCGCTGTGCTTGCAGGTCGGATCACACCGAGACATCTCGCTGCAGAGCCTGTCGCTGTTCCGCCTGCTGGAGCCGCGGATAGGTACGGCACGACACGGGGCGGAGATGGGGATGGGACCCCCGCTCGGGGCTTCCTCCGGGCACCGCGGCGGCGCAGGAGCCTGCCTGCCTCTGTGCCACCTCTGCGCCTCGTTGCAGAGATCCTGGTTCTGGGCACGGGGGACAGAGTAGAGCAGCTCCATCCCGCCGTGCTGAGGCAGATGCGGCTCTGCGGGATCGCCGTGGAGGTGCAGGACACGGTGAGGAGGGGTCCCGCCCCGTGGCCGCCGTCCCTCTCCACGCAGTGACCCGTTGCACCGTCCCTCTCCTTTCGCAGCCCAACGCGTGTGCCACCTTCAACTTCCTGACAAGCGAGAAGCGCCTGACAGCCGCCGGCCTCATCCCCCCGCGGGGCACCTACACGGAGCTCCCGGCGCTGCCCTTTGCCACGGACTGAGTGCCTCTGTCCTCTCCCACCAGCAACCCCCGGGCTGCCCCACACCGAGCGCCGGGCGGAGAAACGCTGCAGGATGGGCAGTCGGAGCCCAGCTGCTGGCTGAGTGCTGCCTCTCGGCTGTGGAGCACTGTACGGCCGTGCTTGGGGGCTGCACAAGGAGAATACACATAAATCAGAAGTACAAAGCAATTACAGAGTGGTTAACCATCAGCAAAGGTGGGCTGTGATGAGCTATTAGGCTTGGTGTGCTCACCGCCCTGCAGAGCTGGCCAGGGGCTGTGGATCGAGGGCAGCAGCTCCTTGGGTTAGGTGTGAGGTGTCAGGGCTGCCTCCTGGCAGCAGCACCTCACCTGCCCCGGGCCCTGCTCTGGGGTTTGTGGCTCCCTGCTGAGCCCTGAGCTGCTGCAGGACGCTGTGGTGCTCGCCCTCCTCCCTGCAGGTGAATGGGTGCTTGGCTGCCATGTAATTCCAGGTTCTGGTTTTAGCATATGCAAATCTAATTCAACATGACCTGCTACAGAGGTGTGCTTTCAGGCAGCGTTAGCAACAGAAGCGCTGTTGTTCACTACACACCTATATGCAGGAGCAGTGCTCATCTTTAGCTGGGGGCAGGGTGTTGATCTAGGTGTAAAATACCTCCAGCACCCAGTGCTGTGCTGCAAGCTATCCTGACCAGGCAAGGGTTGTTTCTGTGGGCAGTCATGCAGAAAAGCAAACTTCTGCAGCATTCATAAGCCCACAAGCTGTTGTTTGATTGTGAGCCCGTGTTTGAGTTCATTGTCCACGTGCCTTCCAGGAAACCAGTGGCTCGTTACGCCCCTGTAAGCACTCCAGTGCCGCAGGCTCCCATGGCAGCCTCCAGCCTGGGCTGCTGCTTGGGGTGCAGGCAGAGTGCCTGCAGGTGGGAGGTGTTCTGGGATGTTTAGGGGAGGCCACAGAGAGGAGAAATACTGTGTTGTGGAGAACACCAAGCATGCAAACACAGGGCAGCTCAGTGTGCTTGCTCAGGTGCATGCCTGTCTGCATACATGTGCACGAGCACCTACATGTTTGTCGCTGCACCAGCAAACTGCTGCCTGGCTGCTAGCTCTGGCAGCTCCTCACAGTGGCCGATGGTGATACACATTTGTTTTTCCTGCCCAGGGGCCACTCATTTTCTGCTCGAGCCAGATTGGTTTGCTCACACGAGCTACCTCAGCCATAAAGCACTCACTGAAGGGGCTGTCCCTTCCCCATTTTTCCCGACACACCGGTCCTTTTGGGG